ACGTGAACTGTTTGCTGTGTGCTCATTGCTTCCTCTTGGGTTATGTGGGGGTTTTGGGGGGGGGGGGGGGGGTGGGGTGGAATAACAAATCTCTAGTAAAAGGGATATTTCTGCCCAGCCTGTCTTTCGCAAAAGGCAACTGTGTCGAACTGATAATAGCTCTCTGACTAGTGACAGTTGCTGGCTAGCAGTTTTCCCCTCATTTGATATCACCAGCCCCATCTGTTAGAGAGGTTTTATGGTTTTCTTGTTATCTCTTAACAACTTCATCTCAGTTACTCAACTAGAACACAACTAGTTGTACTAAGATGTAGGCTTTACAGTTGCTTGCTGCTGAACAGAATCCTGGTCAAGACCATCGCTCCTACCTAGTTCAGCATTTGAATTTCTGCAAACCATTTCCAGCAGAATTTTGACCTATAATTGTCCATGATGTTAGCAGAGCAGAACACACCCATTGTTCAGGCAAATGCACAACTGGAGGGGGGGGGGGGGAAGCAATTGCATTGTTTCCTGGCTCACTGCATGAGGCAGAAGGTGACAACTTCCTCTGATGCAAGTCTCCTGCTCCTACTATTGTCTATCCTCACCCTTGTTAGAGCCTCAGCAGGGTAAGAAAGAAAACTGCTTGTGGGTCCTGGCTCACACACCACCCCGTGCTGTGCTCTATGGTGGTACGTGACTGCCTGAAGTAGGAGGAGGGGATCCCTTTGCAGGGAGATACTGTCTCAGTTGGGTCCAGTCACTGACCTTGGAGAACATGAGGGCATGTCCTGTGTAGTAAGAGGTGATGCTGGGTCAGCCTTAGCACAGGTCTGGGTAGCAAATGGCAGGGAAGCGCCTGTGAGCTTCGACAGGCGAGCATGGACAGTATCATCAAGGCGCTGTACATGGCCCTGCAGTGCCATCAGAGCCCTCTGCTATTGACGTTCCCTCTTTTCTTGGCCTCTGCTGCACAGCTCCTCTGGCCTTAGCCATGAGCTGGGTCCTGCTTCCTGGGGTGAGGCAGTTTTATCCCTTGGTGCTCTGATTTCTTTTGCTGCACATGCTGCTGAGTTGGAGCATCTCTATATACTGCCCTGCTGTCACAGACCCCTCTGAAGGGGCAACTGCTGGGCAGGATCACCTCTGAAATTGAACTTGGAGAGGTGGAGACAGTGCTCACAAAGGACCTTCAGTCCAGGGACCATGTGTCTAGCCTAAGCCATCCTGGCGTCAGGCCCTGGGTGGCAGATGTGGAAATGTCTGCTATGGGGAAAGAATGGTGTTTCCTCAGCCCCTGCAGAGTGCTTGCTTGCTGTGGGGAAGTGAGGGCTGTTTGTGGAAGGGAGTGGGCTTGTTTCAATTAGCATGTAGAATATAGGAGCAGTTCTCAGGGCCCCACTGTGTCTGGCCTGTCCCTCCGCTCGCAGGCAGAGCAGGCAGGCACACACCAGCCCAGTGCCAAGCAGGAGGAAGTGAAAATGCTCCACCCATTTATTCAGCTCAGTGCTTTGGCCGTGTTTGGGATGATAAAGCCCTGACAGGTTTGCTGCCTTTTCCTCCTACAACTGCTCTGTTTTTCCCCAGAGACATGCCAAACCTCACGAGTCTGCTACACTTGCTTCTGGGTAGCTGCAAAGCAACAGCCTGCTTTACCCATCCCCTGATGAAATCAGGCTTAAGGCTGAGCTACCAGGAGAGGACAGCAGGCTTTGTTGGCCCCAAAGCAGAGCTGCTCAGCCCCTTGGCCCTTAGTGAGCTGTCTTGAACATGTCTTTGCTTCTCGTCATTCCCCTTTCCTTGCAGCTCTTCCCCATTCCTGAAGAGATGCTGCTTCCTCCTTTGCTCTGACTCACTGTGGCCAAGCCCTGGCTCTTTGCTGCTGGAGCTCAGCAGCCTGGAGACCCGCTCCTAGAAGCCTCTTTCAGGCAAGAGCCAGTGAGCTTTTGAGCTGACGATGATTGCTCTCCATGGCCGTGCTCATTGTATCTGTGTCCAGGGCTTGGACACTGCCATGACTCCTTTTATTTTCCAGACTTCCCATGGGAGATTTTCACACTGTGTCCTCAGCTGCCCTTTCATGGTCACATTCTGCAGCTGGGGTATTGGCATCCCCCTTGAGCATGTTTCCCTATATTGCTTACCTGCCCTGGCCATCAGGGGCTGCTGGACCAGCGGTGTCCCAGAAACACTCCACGGAACTGCACTAGTGCTGGGTCTTTCCTCTGTGCCAGCTCTGCTCAGTGTTAGGTTATCACATGTCCCTGGGAGGAAACCTCAGGAAAGAGCAGTCTTTGGTATCTTCTCCAACCACAACCAGCTTGTTATGTGCTGAACCATGGGCTGCTGAGCTGTCCAGTTTAGGCCACTGTAGGTTTCTGGTTCCTGAAGTGACATTTTGGTTTTAGACATATTTTTCTATGACTGATTTTCAAACTAATTCCTTCTGTTCCCTGTCCCCCTCCCATTTTCCCCAGACTGGCAGCAGAGCACAAGTATGCAGGGGTGGCTGTGGTCAGGCTTTTCTGTTTCAACTAGACCAACGCGTCGGAAGGGGACACCCTCATTCTCTTCCTGCAGCTGCAAATATAGGTCTCAGTTGTACAAAAATCCACGCTTTGGTTTGCCAGGGATACCCACAACAACCACAGTCACCTGTTCCCTGCAGAGAGGCCCTGGAGTCAGCCTTGCCACTGGGGTTTTGGACTGTCTAGGCATATGGCTGGTTCTCTAGAGCCTGTTTGGGAATGGAAGAATAGATACTTGGTGTGCGGAGACCTTTGCTGTTGGCTCTTGCACTTGCCCTGTGATGTCCAGAGCAATACATCTGTTCAGCTTCTCCCTGGATTCTGCCTTAAAGCAGCAAAACACCCCTGGAGGGACAAGTTCTGCAGGTTGGGGGGCTTCTTTATACTGTATTGAGAGTTTCCTGACCTCCCATGGTTGGTCTGGTCCTGCCCTTCAGGGACTCTTGATATTGTTTGATACAATAAAATACACTTTCTTCCCAGCTATTGGTACAAAGGATATTCCTCCCAGGCGCTGTGTCCCATTCCCATTTCATGATGATAAAGCTGATGGCATCTAAACTGCTGCTGCTTAGGCTCTTTTACCAGCTTTAGCTTCATTCCTCTAGTTCCACGTGGACTTGTGTGCTGCTGCCCAGCTGTAAATCTTGTAACGTCCCGTCAGCATGGGCTCAGCATCCGTTTACCTTCTGCAGTGATGCTGAGCCTGCCTGCCTGGGACAACCTGTCCTGCTGGGGAACAGAGTCAGCATCTTGCTGGCTTTCCAAGGGAAGCTGATATATAGCAGTTCCCATAACTTTTCCCCTATATTGCCACTCTTAAATGTGCAACACCACACCTGTGCTCTTGCTGTGAACAGGGCAAGCTATGTGCTGGACTAAGACCAGATCATGGCTCATAGATCAAGGGAAGCTATCCCTGCTGCCTGCCTGCACTGGGAATACCACACCCAGTGTTAAACCCCGTGTTCAAGAAGAGGGATGTGGGAGAGGGACCACCAAAGGGAGACCAAGATGGTCATGGGGCTGAGCACACAACCTACAAGGAGTGTTTGTGGGAGCTGGGCTGGTTTTGTCTGGTGAAGAGGAGAAGGGTGATCTAACAGCAGCTCACAACTGCTTGAAGGACAGTTTTGCTGACAGTGGAGCCAAATTCTTCCCAGCAATAGCAGACAAGATAGTGAGGGCCAATGGCCACATATACAGTTTCAGAGATGCAGGCTGGGTACTGGGAAAACATCTTCTCTGAGAGGGTGGTGCAGCACTTCAGCAGATCACCAGAGGGGTGGAAGGTCTCCATCCTTGTAGGTTCTCAAGACCTTGACACATCTGACTTGCTCTGCTGCCAAAGATAGTCCAGCTCCAAGTGTCAGTTTGGCCCGAAGTCCTCTAGACACCCCTGCTGCTGTGATACCCTGCATGGCATGCTGAAATTGTCTTGTGCAGGGGAATTCTCGACGCGCCAGCACCCTCTGTCCCTCAGATTGCTTCATCCTGTACTGAATAATGGGAAACACAAATTCCTGTTAAGTGCAGCTGACTTTCTCAGCTAGAGTCAAATCATAAAGACCTCTTTTTCTGCATCATCTATTTAAAAATACCTTTCTCCAAGTTTCATATCTACATTGTCTCATCCTGCTCCTGTTCCTAGCCTGCAGCTTTGGTTTGATTCATATGGGAAGTTAAAGGAAAATCATTACAAAGAAGTTCATCAGGAGCAGCAGCTCTTGGAACTGCCATTTCTACCTTGGCAGCCTGTGGGGCTGGCAGCCACGGGGACTGTGCTCAAGTGCTTTGGCAAAGGACAGGGCCCATCTCTGCAGGAGCGATGGGTGCTGCTGCCTGTCGTGGAGGTGTGGGAATGTGGCTCTGCCTCTCCCACATCTGGTGCTGCCACAGTGACGCGCAGTCCAGACCCACTAACTCCCCTCTCCGCATGCTGAACACAGCCAGGGCATGATGCACGGGATGTTTGTGCCAGGGCAAGTGGGGTCTGAAAGCCCAGAGGTGAGCAGGATGGAGGTGCCTGTGTGTTTGTAAGGGGTGAGGGCTGTCTGGACACAGCCCTTTGCTTTCTCTGGCGTGGTCTGCCCGGACCTGCCCTCTGCTCCACGGCACCATCGCTCTCTCTGGCCCCAGCCACAGAGGGCAGGGCAGGCTGGTACACAGGAGATGTAGGACAGGCTGGAGCATCGGTCCAGCCAGGACAGCACTATGGCAGAGCAGGGGGGTCCATGCCTTCACCCACCCTTGGCACCAGCGGCACCACCAGGGCCAGGTCTGGGGGACACCAAGCCATGACGGGTGGTGGGGCCCAGGAAGAGGATTGTCCCAGCAGCACGGCATTCAATCTGTGCAGGCTGGAGGGCTGCCAGCAGTATGGGTCTATGGCCAGAGAGGGAACTTGCCACTGCTAGAAGCAGAAGTGAAAGGCAGGCAGAAGTGAAAGCAGAGGCTAGAGCTGCTTCCCATGCAGTTCCCCTCCAGAGTGCCCCAGAGCACCCAGAAGCACGGCCATGGAGCCTCTCTCCTTCCAGGAATACATCTGCTCCCTGGACCCAGCCACCTTGCCCCGCATCCTCAGGATTTGCTCTGGTGTCTACTTCCAAGGTGAGTGCTGGGTGCCTGCTGCCTCCAAAGGGTGCCCCAAGGCTGTGCCACCTCCCCCCACCATGCCTCTGCAGGCCAGGCTCCCTTCTCCTGCCCTGAAGATGGCTGGTCCCCTGCCCCCAGGGTGCCAATGCCCAGGGAGATGCACAGGTCCTCGTGCCACCACCAGACACTGGTGCCTAGGGCACAGCTTCTTGCAAAAAACTTTCTCTTCTCCACCCAGCTGAGTGCCCCAGTGCATTCAGTAATGCTGCTAGACAAGCAGTGGAGCACCAAAACCCATCCAAGCTGGTCGTCTGCTTCATGTACAGCTCTCGTCCCAGGCAGTGAATTACCTGCTGGCGGTGGATCTGGCAGGAATGGAGCCACATTCTCGGTCACTGGAGGAAAGTGGGACAGCATTGCCCCTGGCCCTCCTATGAGGAGTCCAGCAAGGGCACAGGGAAGCTGCCTGATCTGAGCCCTCTGCTTCCTCCCAGGTCATGTCCCTGGAGACATCTTAGGTCGAGGAGAAGCTGTGACCAACATGTCTTCCTCAGCTGGTGGCAGCATTGGTGGTGAAAGAGAACCAGAAATTAGCAAATGCTTTTGCTAGATTTGGGGGCTTCCAAAAATGCTGGGAATGCACAGTGGGATCCTGGCAACACCAATATGGCCATTACCATCAAGACTTGTAGGATTTGTAGCATTTGTTAGGTTACACTGACTTCTGAAGAGCAGAAGTGGTTGGGGTGGTCTCACTCTGCTTCTCTGTAGCTCAGTTTGGGTGGATGTTTAGCTTTCCCAAAGACTTCTGGTGGCTTTGATAACATCTTAACGTTGCTAAATGAGTAAAAATGCTGCTGTTTCAACAGCAGCAGTCAATTTGTTTCGCAGTTGCTGGTAGTCGCGGTGAGGTAGCTGGTGCTTTCTGCTTCACACAGCAGGGCGTTTGTCATGAGTTCAACCCAGGGAGGGGAGAATTTTGGGGCTGCACAGAAGGTTTGGTAGCAGCTCAATGAATGCAGAGATTTAAGGGCAGAAGGGGGTATTGCTTGGGTTGGAGGGTATTGTGATGTGGTAGCATAGCCTGAGGACTCCTGCTCCAGGAAAGGCTCTGGCTCCAGGTAAGGCACATCTACCCCTGTCCCTTTGCAGCGTGATCAAGCACTGAATCTTTCCTGCTGCGTTTCTCATCTAAGTTACATTGGTTCAGCCTCCATCCATTCACATTGTGCTCTTCTGCACTGCTTTTCTCCCCTGTTATGACCCCTGCACTGTTACCAGCAATGGAAGCTTTCCAAGACATGGGCTGTACAAGCTTCCAGGTATTCTGATTCCTTAGAAATAAGCATCAGCCCATCAAAGACCCCTCAGCCAACCTCCTGGTTGCGTGTTCCCTTGGCTGGTGCTGGACCTTGCAGACAGATCAGAGTGCATTGGGAATCAGTCAGTGTTGCACCTTGCAGATGTGCCATCCTGCACTGATGCTATTTCTTGAACACTTCTGGATTTCCTGCCATTACTGAAGATCTTACTACTTCTAGCTCTTTTTCTAGCAAAAATTTGGGTGGGTCCCCAAGATGTTAAACAAAACTGCTGCTGGTCTCGGCCCCTTCACGGGCTCGTCTCCCAGCCACTCACTCCTCACATCCTCTACGTTCTTCATCCTGCTTTATGTTGCAAAACCAATCTGGCTTGGTACTGCGGTGGAGCTTTGGGGTCCTGCGCAGGGCATCCATAGCCACATGTGTCTATGTGTCTTGCTGCCAGCCAAGGGGGCCAGCCATGGCACGTGTGCATGGAGTTAACCGGGTCTCTGCACCCAGGATGTGAGGCATCTCCGTGCTCTGGGCAGTGCAGCCTGGCTGTGTGTTTCCTCCCTTTTCAGACCATGCCCTCGATGTTGTCACAGCGTGATGGGGCACAGGAGGGATGGAGGAGGGGGACTGGGGCTTACACAACACGTAGTACTTCATGAAACTTCCTAGCTTTCATCCACCTTTTCCTGTGGTGTATTTTTTCACATTTCCACTTTGAGGTTCCCCTTATTCACGGGAGACAGACACTCTTCCTGCCAGTCTCACCCCGCTGCTCCCACCTGCACTCCACAGGTGAGCGGTGGTCATTGGTTCAGCAGTGCCTGCAGCAGCGTCCGTCTCTCTCTGGCTTGGGTGGCAATATCCAGCCCATCTCCGATGGCATGTCCAGCCTTGGCTCCATCTGTCCTGCCCTGACCAACCAGGGCAGCTGTGTGTGCCAGGGCCCTAAACCAACATGCTCCCACCATGGCCAAAGGCACCAGCTCACCCTGCCCACCAGGTGAATCTGTGCCAGTCCCACCTCTGCCCACTGCTAAGACTGTGAGCCAGCTCTGCCTTTCCCTGAACAGCTGCCCTCCTTCCCCCGCACCCTCCACCCCCATTCCATGGCCCCCTTCTGCAGTCCCAGGGTCAGGGGTCCCCTTGGCCCCACCACAGCCACAGGGACTGGGTCTCCCTCAGGGACATCCATGCACCCGAGTGCCAGGATGCCCAGGCTTGGCTTCCATCCCAGAAAGGACAAAGCCTGTGGCCAGGGCCAGACCACAGCTCAACCCCCTCCCCACTGCCCTGGGGGACCTCATCACAGCTGGCCAAGCAGAGGGGCCCCCACTGTGTAACTGGTATTTGTTAATGGCACATACCATGACTACCTGTGATGGGAATCACTAAATCACTGCGGTGGCAGGGACCTAGAGAGATCATCCAGGCCAACACCCAGCTCAAGCAGGGTCAGCAGGAGCTGGTTGCTCAGCACTTTATCCAGCTGGGTTTTGAATACCTCCAGTGTTGGAAACTCCACAACCTCTCTGGGCAACCTGCTCCAGTGCTTCACCACCACCACAGTAAAAAAAATGTTTTCTTATTGTTGTGGTTTAACCCTAGCCAGCAACTAAGCACCACGCAGCTCACTCATTCTCCCCCACCCAGTGGGATGGAGGAGAGAATTGGGAAAAAAAGTAAAACTTGTGGGTTGAGATAGGAACAGTTTAATAGAACAGAAAGGAAGAAAATAATAATACAATAATAATAACGATAATAATAATAAAAGGATTGGAATATACAAAACAAGTGATGCACAATACAATTGCTCACCACTCACCAACTGACGCCCAGTTAGTTCCAGAGCAGCGATCTGCCCCCAGGCCAACTCCCCCCAGTTTATATGCTAGACGTGACATCACATGGTATGGAATACCCCGTTGGCCACTTTGGGTCAGGTGCCCTGGCTGTGTCCCCTCCCAACTTCTTGTGCCTCTCCAGCCTTCTTGCTGGCTGGGCACGAGAAGCTGAAAAATCCTTGACTTGGTATAAACACTACTTAGCAACAACTGAAAACATCAGTGTGTTATCAACATTCTTCTCATGCTAAATCCAAAATGTAACACTATACCAGCTACCAGAAAGAAAATTAACTCTATACCAGCCGAAATGAAGACACTTAAGTTCAGAGGAAGTTTCAAGTGTTTCCTTTTGTGCCCATGGCCTCTTGTCTTGTCACTGGGCACCACTGAGAAGAGCCTGGCTCTGTCCTCTTTGCACCCTCAGGTATTTATAGACATTAATAAGGTCCCCCTGAGCCTTCTTTTCTCCAGGCTGAACAGTCCCAGCTCTCTCAGCCTTTTCTCCTTTAACCATCCTTGTGGCCCTTTGCTGGACTCTCTCCAGTATGTCCATGTCTCTCTTGTACTGGGGAGCCCAGCACTGGACACAGCCAGTTGTGGCCTCACCAGTGCTGAGCAGAGGGGGAGGATCACCTCCCTCGACCTGCTGGCAATGCTTTGCCTAATGCAGCCCAGGACACTATTCGCCATCTTTGCAGCAAGACAAGGGCATGTTGCTGCCTCATGTTCAACCTGGTGTCTACCAGAACCCCCAGGTTCTTTTCTACCAAGCTACTTTCCAGCTGGGTGGCTCCCAGCATGTGCAGGTGCTGGGGGCTGTTCCTTCCCAGGGGCAGGACTTTGCACTTCTCCATGTTGAAGTGCATGAGGTTCCTGTCAGCCCATTTCTCCAGCCTGCCAAGGTCCCTCTGGATGGCAACACGACCCTCTGGTGTATCAGCCTCTCCTCCCAGTTTTGTGTCATCTGCAAAGTTGCTGAGGGTGCATTCTGCCCCATTGTCCAGATCATTAACGAACAAGTTAAACATGATTGGACCCAGTATCGATCCCTGGGGCACACTGCTAGTGACTGGCCTCCAACTAGTCTTCATGCTGTTGATCACCACCCTCTGGACCCAGCTGTTCAGCCAGGTTTCAGTCCACTTCAGTGTCTGCTCATCCCACCCATTCTTCATTATCTTCTCTATGAGGATGTGATGGGAGATAGTGCCAAGGTTCTGAAGTCAAGGTAAACAATACCCACTGCTCTCCCCTCATCCACCAAGCCAGTCAGCTCATTGTAGAAGGTGATCAGGTTGGATAAGCATAGTTTCCCCTTTGTAAATTCATACTGAATAATCCCAATCATCTTTTCATCCTTCATGTGTCTGGTAATGGTTTCCAGAATTAGGTGCTCCATCACCTTCCCAGGTTTGAGGGCAGCATGACTGGCCTGTAAGTCCCTCTCTTGCCTGTCTTGAAGAAAGAAGTGACATTTGTTTTTTTTCCCCAGGCATCAGGAACCCCTCTTGATTGCCCATAACCTCTCAAAGATAATAGAGAGTGGCCTCACAAAGTCAGCACACATGGGTGCATCCCAACAGGCCCCACGGAATTAAGTATGTCCACTCTGTTTAGTGCTCCCTTACTTGGTCCTCCTCCACCAAGGGCAGGTCTTCCTTACTCCAGACTTTTCCCCTGGTCTCAGGGGAGTCCTGAAGGCTGGTCATACCTGTAAAGACTGAGGCCAAGACGGATTGAACACATCAGTCTTTGATGTGTCCTTTGTCACCAGGTCCCCTGCCCCATTCAGCAGCAGACCCACATTGTCCCCAGTCCTTTTGCTGTTGATGTACTTGTAGAAGCCTGTCTTGTTGCCCATCACATCCCTTGACAGATTCAGCTTCAGGCAGGCTTTGGCTTTTCTAACTCCATCCCTGCATGCTAGACCATGTCTCTCTGCTACTTCTGGGCCACCTGCCCTTGCTGTCACTGCTCGTGCACCTCCTTCTTATGTCTGAGTCCATTCAGGAGCTCCCAAGTGTGGGACAGGAGCGCCAATCACCTGCAGGTATTCTGAGGAAGCAGTAAAGGACAGCTTACAGAGGGTGGTGAGGCACTGGAACAGGTTGCCCAGGGAAGTTGTGGATGCCTGATTACTGGAAGTGTTAAAGGCCAGGTTCGACAGGACTTGGAGCAACCTGATCTAGTGAAAGATATCCCTGCCCACGGTGGAAGGGTTGGACCAGATGATCTTTAAAGGTCCTTTCCAACCCAAAGCATTCTGTGATTCTATGAAATGCCGGTAGAGGTATTTTCTTTGAGGAAATTCCCTTGTCACCCTGCAGGATCTGTGTACGAGATCTCGGGCAACGAATGCTGCTTGTCAACGGGTGACCTGCTGAAAGTCATGGCTGTGGTGCTGCAGAAGGTTGTTTGTGAGGACACAGAGACAGGGCAGACAACGGAGCTGCCACCGACATTTAAGGGTGAGTGGGGCTGCCCTGCCCCAGCCCGCAGCCCATGGGTGCCCTCCTCCCTGGGAAGACCTTCACAGCCCCCGTGGGCTCAGCCTCATTGTCCCACAGGTCTTTTCCAGCCTGCCCCAGCCCGGGGCCCGTACCAGACACTGCGGGGACACGTCCCGGAGGGTGGCAGGCAGCAGGGCCTGACGTTGCACCAGGCACTGGGGCAGTGGGACGGGCGGCTACAGCCCCTGCTGTGCCCCGCCATCGGCCCGCACGCCCTGCTCCTGCGCCCTGTCTACGAGGTGCACGCCGCCATGCACCGTGAGTGAGGACGGGGCAGGCGGGGTGCTGCAGGGTCAGGGCAGGGATGCTGTGGGGTCGGGCTTGGTGCGCTGGGGGGTCGGGGCTGTGGGGTCTGGGCAGGGATGCTGTGGGGTCAGGATGAGGGTGCTGCAGGGTTGGGGGCCTACACAGTTTGGTGTCGGGACCCCGATGCACATGGTGTGGGTGGCTGCAGGTGCAGGGGGCAGCGGGGGGGGCGGTGAGGGGCTGAGCGCGGGGTCAGGGCAGCTCTGCCCCCACAGTGCGCCGGGACGTGGTGAAGATCCCCTCCACGCTGGAGGTGGATGTGGAGGACGTCACGGAGGAGGCGCAGCACATCCACTTCGCCCGGCCGCTGCTGCTGAGCGAGGTGCTGGGGATGGAGGACGTGCTGCCAGCCCAGGCCGAGATCCTGGAGGGTCCAGCCGGCGCTGCT